TGAGGAGAGCGTCTAACTGGTAAGTACCACTATATCCTCCAGTATCCCCTTGTTTACAATATTATGCCCTCCGGTGCGTACGTAGTTTAAGGGTAGGTTGTGTTACGGAACACAAACCTGTCGGATTCGGCACAGACATAAGTGTTAATTTTATTCATAGGATGAAATAAAAACGACTATACACTACACACCAGTGTTAACTTATTTATAAATTTTAATGACAAAAAAAATTCTTCGCATTAAATTCTCGGTGCATGAGATCATACAAATATCGAAATGTCCCAGAAGGCGTAGTTGGTGTTATCTATTAAAGTGGTATCGGGCGCTGTTCTAGCTACAGATCGTTAAGGAAGTGTACAAATAGGCATTGGCTTTGTTGGTGATTATCGTCGCGGCAGCTGTTTGTCAACACCTCGGTGCGAAGTCTCGACCACCGTCGCTCGTCGCGACAATTCGACGAACATCTTCCAACTATCGCGAGAACCGCGACGTGAACGCTTTATTAGTTCTACATATTAGTGAGCTATGACATTTTTGAAGCGTTTACACTTATTTTTTTTAAATAGATGATTCAACTACATAAACAAGCTTTATCTCTGTCTGATGTATGTATACTAGTTTTAATCTTTGGAATTGTGTAAAGAAAATTACATTCGTACTTATTTAATCCGTGAAATTAAAACTAAATAGTGTAAAGTAAGAATAAATCAAGAATTTTGTAATTTTCACGAGAACTAAATGTTTTTTTATGAATTTAATTTGTTTTAATTCTTTGGGGACTGGAAGATATTGGTATCTGCATGGGACACCAAGTAAGAGTCGAAGTGTAAAAATTATTTCTTTGTTACTTTAAATAATAGATGGCAACAATAGAACATTTTAAGTAGTTTAATCCAATAGTACCATATAATATTTACGGAACTACGAGTATTTACTTGCACCAATATCACTATTTGTAAAAACCGTTAACTCACTTATTCACATGTTAAATATGCAAATTATATAAGGATTTGTATTTGTTGATTTTATTTTGGCATATTTTTTAACGACGCCATTCATGGCCGTAGCCAAGAGGGACACGAGAGCATCTTACCAGAGTATCGGAAACATGTTACAATAAGAGTAAAAACTATACCGACATACTATAATTCTAACAATCTCTTTAGATCTACATAGATAAACTTAAAACTAATTTACAATGTAAAAAATTAGACCATTTCTTGAGACATTTCTTCTAGAATAAAAACCACCACACTTGGTTACAATTAAAGTAACATACTGTGCTGTACATTCTTCATGTTTGTGATTCGTGAGTTGGTGCAATACGATAACACTTTGAGTCGACAGAGACGTCCATTTATAGCTCCCCTTTCCCCGGACCTCCGGACCCGGGTCCCCAAGTCTGGGCCATTCCCGGACATGGCACCCTCACACTAATTTATAGCCACTGAAATTCCGAGGTGCGGTCTAGGTGGATATGCAAACAAAATAACTAAAGAGCTTGTTAATCCGACTTGTCACGTATTCTAAACTGTCAGTGTGGTAAGGGCTTGTGATGTGGGATTTGAACACTTTTTTATTTATTCTTAAGTGTACCTTTAAAAAGTGTAGTAAAAATTGCAATTACACATTCGATATTTACAATTCAAGACTAATTTCAAATGGGCTGAGGCACTTTTTGGAAGCAGTGCGCTATTTTCTTTGAAAATCAGTGACATAATTTTATTATTAGCACTATTGTAACTATATTTGATTAAAATAGACCAGGTAACTAAGGTGAAACATTTTAAATTTTGATTAGTTATTATTTTCAATGTTATTTTTTTATTGCAAATATCAAATTGCTCAACGTTACGCCCGCTTACAACAGATGGGTGTCTGTTTAATTTAGACACGCTTTATAAAGTAAAATATTTATGTAACTAATGTAAGTAAAGTGTGTACAAGCGATTAGATATACACGTAATTAATGAAACACGCAAATGTAAGTGAAATATGAGCGGAGATGAGTGTTAGAGGTTAGGGATGATTGCGTGTGCGTTGGTGGAGTGATGCGTGAGAACAATTACACTCGGGTGTCGTCACGCTATATTGTTAAAGTGGGTTTACACTGACGAAATACATGTTATATCTTTATTATTTATAGATCTTAGAAGGACTATAAACTGTTTTAATACAAGTGTTTCGGCCGAGAATGTTCACGCCTAAGGTTGCCTTTTTGTAAACAATTTAAAAAGTGATAATTGTGAATTCATATTATATGTCTCGATAGCTAATAAAACATACTAAGCTTTAAAAAAATCATCAGACGAGCAATGCAGTTTATACTTCTATAATAAAACGTCTCATTTTTAGTGCACTGTCTTTTGTTTTAAATATTTTCGTTAATTCCTACATTTTGAAAAAAAAAGGAAAATCTTTTGGCTATTCAGTTATTTTGAAATTTCGCGCACAATCATACAATGAATTCAACATTAAAAAATAATTTCAAGTATGACTAATTTCCGTGGTTCATTATTAATCGACAAATTAAAAGTGCCGACGGTATATTGTTGCCAAGAATTAAAGGGCATATAAATAAAAACACGGGATTTACCATAAAATGTGGTGGAGGGTTGGTGTGTGGCCAGCCAGTGTGCATACGCATGTCCTGCGAGCAGTTCCGCGCTGTTTAATGCAGTTAGTTCCTGACAAGTCGACGTCGATGATACTAAAACAAAATAACATATATTTTGATTAACTATCGATATTTTAGTGACAAGTTTTATTTTTCACATAAATATTTATTTATTCTCAAACATTACCCTATTTTAAAATAATTTCTAATGTTGTAGGGAAGGATGTTTTTATAACTTATTATTTAGGTGATTAAATGTGAAATGTCAAAAATAATGCTGTAGTCTAAGGCCTAATTTTGGTCCCTTTCCCTTACCACCCTTTTCTTAAGAGAAAGGGTGGGAAGGAAAAGTGGATTTGACAGTTGAGGAGACGCATAGGAAGGGGAAATATCCTCTTTATGTGCGTCTCCTCCTCCGTCAATTAAGGGTAGGCAACGCATCTGCAATTGCGGATGTTTATGGGCAGCGGTCGCTTTACATTTCGGTGGATTCAGGTGGCCGCTTGCTCGTTTTCCACCTTATGAAAAAATAAGTCTAAAAAAAAGGTGGCTTTTTCTGTTTTTTTTTTCTATCCTATAAGTTGAGCGGTTAAACATTAATTCTACAGTATTTTGTCCTATGTTAATTTGAAAGTTACTTAAAGAAAAATGGGAAGACTACATTTAAGGAAAGAAGGCCTTAGAAGACCTTAATTTAAGATTTTTAATATACTTGCTTACTTAAAATAAACGTGATTACTATTCATTACATCTTTTATAAAAATAACTTTTGTACATTATAAAATGACTTACCATTATATTCATCAGCAGTTTCTTCGAGGCGATCACGATCTTCTTGATGTGTTGGTTTTTCAACGCTTACACTGTGATTTTTGTTATTACCCAAAATATCGTCTATTAGAAAAGTTTTACTTTTAGTATCACTTGAACTATTTAATTTGTTCCTCTCACTACAAGTTACAGTAGCACTTTTATCACGTATTGTTTTTTTAGGCACAGCTCTATCCGAATATACACCAAGATTTTGTTCGAAAAAGAAAACCCCGTCGGGTCGGACCAATGGATTTGACAGATTGTTATATTGTAGGGCATTGTTATCTCTTGGCGATATTCCATTGTTTTCACATATAACATCAATTGTTTCATTTTCACTGTCATATTCGGTTTCCGATTCACAATCGAGTGATTCTTCTTTCTCTACTGCGTAATCACTGCGTTTTTCGACAACTTTAGAATCCGAATCATCGCACGTACTCGATATAAAATTAATCGAGTTCATTTTCACCGATTGTACAAATTATTTCATGACTGATAAAAAAGTTTTCAACAAATGATGAATGGTCCTCTACGGTTGAAGTTGTGAGGGTACTAAATTTTCTCTCTTCTGCGATCTCGCGCTGATAATTAGTTCCGAAAATAGGTGGCACCGGTCGAGCGTTACCGGAGGCTGTAGGTATGACCTCGCAGTGATTCTCTAACGCTACTGGCTGATCAACCGATGGAGGGGACTGCGCCATCTTAAGTAGGTGGGGCCTCGAACACCGGCTGTGAAAATTCACACCTTTCTTTTATTTGATAACACGTTGTATGAGAGGATTTTATCGCACAAAAGATCTCTAAAAGCTTATGATGAGCCCTCGGGGAGAATATCGCCTTGTTATTTGATTGATGTCATCGATTCGAATGATTTATTTCGCAGGTAAATGCAATTTAAATGGTTTAGTGAGATGATAGAAGTCAAATAGTTGTGTGCAAGTTTCATAAAGGTGTTAAGAATATGTGTTTTTCGTATCAGAACATTAACAGTATAAAACTTAACTCGTGATTTTTCTTTTGTCTTGTATGCCAGTGCTTAAAAGCAAACAAGTCTGAGGAATTCCAGAGACCTATAAGACTAAGTCTGCAGCTGGGGTTGAATAGGGAGGTTTATTAGGGTTAACAAATTCGGCACCTCCAAGCTTTCGAGCCAAAACTCCATAACAACTCCATTTTAATATTCTTAACTTTTTATTATCACCAGAATATGTAATACAAAAAATTACTTGGCGACTATCATCGATCTAACTGTGAAGATCATCTTTCTTTTACATCGTCAGACATTTATAAATCTTTATTCATATAAGAAATCGCCTATCAGGTAATCAAATTAGCCTCTTTACTTACTTCAAACCACTAAGCTTTTGCAGCACGCCCTCTATAAACCTACTCCGATAAGTGTAAGATGAATTAAAAAAGAGAGACTTATTAAACGCCATCTTTTGAATGTACAAAATAAACAACTCTCTGGGCTCTAGTCTTGTGAATTTAGACGATGTTAAACAGATTCATCGACAGATGGCGGTGTAAACGTAGATTACCAAATATTTGTTATAAAGTTTCGAATTTGTGTATGTAATAAAAAAAATCTTGCTAATTCAAAAACTCAGGGAAGTTTTTTCATTACTTTACAATCTTCTATTGAATTTGAGGTCAACAATGATCAGCAATTATTACAAGTAGAGTTTCATTCGTACCCATCTACT